TGCCACTATACTCAATTCATTTATTAATCCTAGTAATTTTTTGGTGAAGCTTTTAGGGTTTTCTATGTACATGAACATGTCATCAGCAAGTAGGGATAGTTTGTCTTCTTCCTTTCTGGTTTGGATGCCCTTTATTGCTTTCTCTTGCCTTTTCTGGTGCTGGCTAGAACTTCTAGTACTACGTTGAGTAAGAGTAGAGAAAGTGGGCATCCTTGTATTGGTCTATGATCTTAGAAGAAAAACCTTAAATTTCTGTCAGTTCAGTATGATATTAGCTATGGGTTTGTTGTACATGGCCTTTATTTTGTTGAGGTACATTCCTTTTACACCTAATTTGTTGAATGTTTTCATGAAGGGGTGCTCATTTTATCAAATGCTTTTTCTGCATTTATTGAAATGACCATATATTTTTCTTCATTCTGTTTATGTGATGTGTCATATTTATTGCTTTGTGTATGTCAAACCATTCTTGCATCCCTAGGATGAATTCCACTTGATCATGGTGAATGATCTTTTCAATATACTGTTGGATTCTGTTTCCTACTATTTTATTAAGGATCTTTGCATCTGTGCTCATTAGGGATACTGGTCTGTAGTTTTCTTTTTTTGTTGTATCTTTTTCCAGTTTTGGTGTGAGGTTAATGTTGGCCTCAGAGAACGGGTTTGGAAATATTTCCTCCTCTTCAACTTTCTGGAAGAGTTTGAGAAGAATTGGTATTATTTCTTTAAATGCTTGGCAAAATATGGCAGCAATACCATCTTGTCCTGGGGTTTTCTTTGTTGGAGGACTTTCTGTTACTGCTTCAATCTCATTACTTATTATTGGTCTGTTTAGATTTTGTAATTCCTCATGATTAAACCTTGGTAAATTGTATGTGCCCAGGAGTTTATCCATTTCTTCCAGGTTTTCCAGTTTGTTCTCACATGGTTGTTCATAGTAGTCTCTTATGATCCTTTGTATTTCTGTAGTATCAGTTGTAATGTTTCCATTTTCATTTCTAATTTTATTTATTTGGGTCTTCTCTCTTTTTTTCTTTGTTAGTCTAGCTAAAGGTTTACCAATTTTGTTTATCTTCTCAAAGAAAACAAATTATTTGTTTCATTGATCTTTTGGATTGTTTTAAATCTTTAATTCATTTATTCCTGCTCTGATCTTTGTTATTTCTCTCCTTCTACTGATTTGGGGTTTAGTTTGTTCTTGTTTCTCTAGTTCCTTAAGGTGTAACGTTAGGTTGTTTATTTGAAGTCTTTATTCTTGTTTGATGTAGACATTTATTGATGTAAACTTTCATCTTAGGCCTGCTTTTGCTGTATACAATAGGTTCTATTATGTTGCGTTTTCATTTTCATTTATCTCCAGGAATTTTTTAATTTCCTTTTTGAGTTCTTCTTTGACCCTTTCATTGTTTAGTAGCATGTTGCTTAATTTCTAGTTATGTGTACAGTTTCTAGTATCCCTTTTGTTGTTGATTTCTAGTTTTATCCCATTGTGGTAGGACAAGGTAGTTGGTATGATTTCAGTTATTTTAAATTTACTGAGACTTGTTTTGTGACTTAACATACGGCCTATTTTAGAGAATGTTCTATATGCTGCTGAAAAGAATGTATATTCTGCTGCTATTGGATGAAATGTTCTATATAAGTCCATTAGGTCCAATCAAACTAGAGTAGAGATTCTGATGCTTCCAGTTTAATTTTCTGTTTCAATGATCTGTCCTTTGCTGAAAGGGTGTGTTAAAGTCCCCAACTATTGTGTTGGAGTCTATTTCTCCCATCAGGTCTAATAGTAATTGCTTTATATAACTGGGTGCTCCAGAATTGGGTGCATATATATCTAGAATTGTTACTTTCTCTCATTGAATTGATCCTTTTATCATTATATAATGACCTTCCTTATCTTTTTTTTTACTTTTCTTGGATTGAAGTCTATTTTATCTGATGTAAGTATAGTTACTTCTGTTATTAGTTGTTTCCATTTGCATGAAATATCTTTTCCATCCCTTCACTTTCAGTCAATGTGTGTCTTTACAGGTGAAGTGAGTTTCTTGTAGGCAGCATATTGTTGGCTCTTGTTTTACAGTCCATTGAGTGACTCTGTGTCTTTTAATTGGGTCATTTAATTTGTTTACATTTAGAGTTATTATTGATACATAGAGACTTGTTACTGCCATTTTGCTACATTTTTTTCTGATTGTCTTGTAGATCCTTTTTTCCTTTTTTTCCACTCTTACTATCTTCCTTTGTCATTGAGTAATCTTATTTAGCAGTATATTTTGATTTCTTGCTATTTATTTTTAGTAAGCCTTTTATAAGTTTTTGTGTTATGGTTACCATCAAGCTTACAAAAAACATGTTATAGTTATAACAGATTATGTTAGACATCTGGTCAAGATGGAGGAATAGACAGTCCCCAGTGTCACTCTCTTCCACAAACCAACAAATTTGCAACTATAAAAAAGCAACGACAACCAAGCTGAGGCCGCTAGAGCTCAGGGGAAGAGGAGAGAAACCTACAGAGTGCATGAAGGTGGGAGAAGCCACAATGAGAGAGAGAAAAAAACACTCCAAATGGTTGATTAATAAATTGAAAATATTAAATTTCACTAAAAAGTAAGACCTCATCCACAATTTATAAACAATTCGTTCCTTAAATCTTTTTAGCTGTATTATAAAATGTATTTGGTTTTTAAGTACTTTAAATGTCTGACTTGCAAAACTTTTCTATGGCTGTCCAGTAATTCTAAATTTTTGTCTCAAATATAATGAATTTCAAATTCTCTTGAACATTCAACTACTGTTTATAAACTTGAGGTTTCCCATACTTACCAACTTAAAATCACACAACTAAAAATTCATTTTAAATTTCACTTTTTCAGTAACAAGGCTGATCTTTCTGGATTATCTAACATGCCCAATTCTCATAAATATTATGAACACTTTAAATAACTGGCACAAATTGTACAATTTAGTAGAAAATAAATAATATCATGGGTCTTGATATACCTGATCATTGTTGTACTGAATTTTAAACATTCCCATCTTATACTGGGTTTCCTAGAAGCGAGCTTGAGTTGGAGATTCTTGTGCAAGTGATTTAGTGTCTCTCCAGAGATACCTGTGAGAAATGGAAGATGCAGGACACAGTAGGAGGAGGAGATGAGCAAAGATGTGGCTTCAGCTGAAATCTAGCCTCAGCCAGATCCTATGGGATATGCTAGAGCTGCATTGTCCAACCTGGTAACCACTAGCCACATGTGGCTCTTGACGTGAGAAATGGAAGATGCAGGACACAGTAGGAGGAGGAGATGAGCAAAGATGTGGCTTCAGCTGAAATCTAGCCTCAGCCAGATAATATGGGATATGCTAGAGCTGCATTGTCCAACCTGGTAACCACTAGCCACATGTGGCTCTTGAGCACTTGAAGTGTGGCTAGTCAAATTGAGATGTTCTATAGGTATAAAATGTACATGGAAAATCAAAATCCTGAATGAACATAACAATGCCAAATAGCTCATTAATAATTTTTTGCAAATGTTACATGTTGCAATGATAACATCTTGGATATACTGGGTTAAATAAAATTTATTATTATGACATATTTCTCCTGTTTGTTTTTATGTAATCACTAGAAATATTAAAATTAAATATGTGGCTCACATCGTATTTCTTTTGAACAGCACTGTTAGAGTAGGAATAATACAAAATAGTACAAAATGTTCCCAACTAGAGGCATTACGGTTTGGCTTTTATACCTTATATCAGTCAATAAATGGCTGTGGGCTGCCTCTGAGGGAAGGATGCAAACTTCCAGACATCTCCATGTAAAGTAGCTTCCCCCTCCCCATTCATCCATCCAAGGACCAAGGGCAATTCTTAGGAGATGCATTCAGCTGTGTGAAGTATTAGTAGCCATTACTCACAGAAGCCGATGGAAGGAAGCATCTGCCAGTTGAGGGGATCTAGGCTCTCAATCAGTGACTCTTACACTTTCCTATGTCATAAGTCATTTACCCACCAGGATCCCAGTCACTATATCAGGGATTGAAGCCACTAGGTGGAAGATCTCAGACTGTGATGTAGTCACTTACACTTCCAAGATTCAAAACCAGGACATGTGACCTGAGCACTTCATGCTTCTCAGAAGAAACCACCAAATCACATATGCACAGGCTGTAACATATTCATACAATGAATTGCTATAGCAACAGGGTACCATAATACCTCACATATCAACTGAAATTGATTTTATATATACATTTCCTGATTCCTTCTCCAATCAGATTTTGGGTTGACAGAATTCTTTGCTTCTGCATGGCTTACAAATAATTTTCTTCACTACTTGAATGGATTCAATCTTTTTACTGCCTGATTGGACTCTAAATTGATTTCCTATGGTTGTTTTATTCATATCCCATATGATCCTGCATTCCATTCCTACTTTTCTTACTTATAATGACTCTGTGGTCATTTTAATATAGGAGATTAGCCGAGGTGAGATGTTTTTCTCACTGCACGGTGCATTGTGTCAGAGAAATATGAGTGCTTTTTTAGGCCTCATATTGATATAAGCCTGCAGAAATCCTTTCAAAGTGACAAAGGAAGAGTTCATTTCTGCGAAGAAAGATGAGAAAGGAATTTCCTCAGAGCTGAGTTTGCTTGGGAGAAAGAGAAGATGATGACAAACCACTGCTTAGTCAGACAAAAGGGTGAAATTACATATCTAGGTGGTCTGAAAAGGCATGCTGTTTACCAAATAATCTTTTCCATCACTATAAACCTAGAATCATGAAATCATTGGAATAATTTGACTTTTAGCACTTTGGTAAAAAATGCAAGCTTTCAGGAAAAAATTTATATAGGAACAAAACAGAATCAGCCCAAACAGATGAGGGAGCAACAGAGACCTGAATAATACTTTCTCCTTCTTTTTATTACAAAGAACTCGTCAATAATTCTACAATTTTGTGTCCTTTTTCTGATGAGTTTATTTGCATTTTATAGGAGAGATAAAAACCCTGCTAAAAATATTCCCAAATCTCTGATTACTACCATTTCTGGGGTGACTGTGATTTACTTATTGGTGAATATATCCTACCTGGCAGTTTTGACCCCCAAGGAAATCATCTCTTCAGGTATGAATGTGTATAAACAAGGAGGAAACAGTCACTTCTACCTACCCTGAATAAACAGGGACTGTTGTATACCGTATATTTGTTTGATACACTCATAGTAATTTAAACATAATGTGTTTATGCTCTGATCTTTACAAAGAACCCAAGGAGAAACATGAGCAAGCACAGGGACTGTTGTATACCGTATATTTGTTTGATACACTCATAGTAATATAAACATAATGTGTTTATGCTCTGATCTTTACAAAGAACCCAAGGAGAAACATGAGCAAGCAAGGCAAGAAAGCAAGGAAGAAATACTTTGCTTAGCTGTTCCACCTTTTAGGGTACAACCAAATACCCATCATCAAAATAACTGTTTGAAATAGGCAATATCATCTTCATTTTTTAGATGAGGAAACTATAGCTCAGAGAAGTTAAGGATTTACTCATTGTCATACAGCTCCATATGGACAGAGTAAAGATTCAAAACCAGATCTCGGTCATGCTCTTTTCATTATAAAAGATTGCTTCTTGTCCAGGTTTTTGCTAATAATGGGTTGTAAATGTGTACAATAAGGTGCAAAATCCAGTCTTCAAAAACTTATTCCTCCCATTTCTGCTTAATATGGTATTCAAAGTTACTTAGCTAGTCATTGACAAAAACAGGATTCAAACCCAGGCTGTCTGACCCTAGAACCCATATTCTCAACTACCATACTAAAATTCCTCATGCAAACAAACCAAAGTAAAGCATCACCACCTCTAAGGAGGGATTATTATCAATGCAAGTAACAGTAAAAATATATATTAAGAAATATATATCAAATAATAAATCTTATTAATACACACAGTCATATAATATATCACATAGACATGACTGAAGATACACCAATAGGTTAATAGCAAATGATGCTGTCAGAATGGTAAAATTACAAGTAGTTTTTGTTTCCTTTTTTATGATTTTCATGTTTTCCATAATGTGTGTTGTACTTACGATTAGAAAAAATATATCACTTTTTCAATACCAAAGAATTATATTCCCACAGAATCAAGTAATGAATTTTTATGACCACTCCAGGTCTTTAAGAAAGTGTCAAACTATAACTAGTTTACTTTTTAAAGACAAGGTAGTATTTAAAATAAAGTTTTAAAATTCCACCAAAATTTAATTCTTTAAAAAATAGTTACTGTTGAAAGAAGAGAAGTTCAGTTATCTGGAAAATTTATTCACTGAGAACAACTAACTCTTCAAATATTCTGGATAAATTTTAAATAATACACCAATGAACACACAAACTGCAAAAGTATTGGAAATACAGATAAACACAGAGATACATGGTTAGATACAAACACAGTGTGTGGTTGGAGAGCAGAGCTGTGACTATAAGCCAGACACTGCAGCACTCTAGTGGCTAGAATTGCCCTGGAATGAATACTTTTCAAGGTCAGAGGTCACAAAGAGGGACAATCTGATGTTCCTGCAGCATTAAACTGCAAGTATGCTCTACCATCTGTATTTGAAGCTTTTACAAAAATAAGAAGCTTTGAATTTTATTTTGCAAAACATATTTTTACATGGTTCAAAAAGTTGAAAGGTGGCTTTACACACCTTCTTGGAGACTGGCATAAAAATGTTATAATGATTATAAAAGAAAAAGACAAATAAAAATTGCAAAAAGTAAACAAAAACGTGTTACCATCATACCTTCCCACAAATTCGGTCTCACATGAATACTGTAACACACTAAAGGAGATTTTTTTAATTATTAAAATGAGGGGAGGAACTATAGTTTGCCTTATACCCCATCTCCAAACCAGTTGGCAATTCCTGTAAAAATGTACCTCATTAACATCTCTTCATATATTTCCCCTCATCACTCCTACTCCTTTTGCCTTGGTCTGGACCCTCATTTTTCTTACCTGGTTTACTACAACAACCTCCTAATTTATACACTCACCTCTAAACTCCTCCCTCCAATGCAGCCTCCACTCAGTTTCTAGAGATAACTTTATAAAACACAAACCCTGCTTAATTACTCTACTGTCTTGTTTTCTTGCATCTCCTCCCAATGCCTCACACACCTGCTGCAACCACTATACCATCAGCCATCACCTTCCTTCAGACCAAATATCAGCTTCTCAGCTGGCCACAGCAGGTTCTCCAAGATCTAATACAAGCCCAACTTTCTATCCTCATTTTTTGCATTCTTTTTTTTGCACACACACACTTACTACAAATCAGCCTTTGTAAACAACTTACCATTTCCAAAATAGACATTATCCTCTCTGCCTACCCCACAATGCCAACTGTCTGCCCTCTGCCTGACTTAGATGCCTATTTCATGCTTGATAGAAAAATGGATTCTATTCAATATCCATTGAGCACAACAAGCACCTCCTAAATCCCATGTAAAAGCTAGTCGTAGAAAGTTTAAAATGCAATTTAAAAATCATGAAATGGAGTACAGTGAATTAACTTAGGATTTAATTGTAGTAATCTCTCTATGAATTTTAAGATGGTTAACACTATTAATAAACTTTTTAAATTTTAGAACAGAGATTACCAATAGAAACAAAGATTAACACTTTTAATTTTGCAAATAAATAGAGGCAAAATTGTAGGTGTCTCATGTTTCAGGAGCTAGGCAATAATAGTTTGGGGGGAGAATATTAGCCCTGCTCAAAAGCATCTGTTCAGCTGACAGCCCATCACAGATCATGTAGCTGTCTTTTTTTGATGATGTCCTTTATAGTGTCTTCAGTTTCTACAAGATGTTAGTCAAAGCCTCAGTCTGGGTGATAATAAATTTCGGACCTGAACTTAACTAACAAGATGAATCACTATTCTCGCGATATTTCTTAACAAGGCTATTGTGGGCTCTTAGAGCATCTTCGTACAAAATATTTTTAAAAGCACCCCCTTCACTAGGCAGACACAACCCCATGCCCAGGCGCAAAGCCTGGTGAGTGGAGCACAAACTAGATATCAGTCCCCATTTGCCCTCCAAGCTGGATACACTTGTGAGTGTAGTGGACTACCTAAGCAATCACATGCAGCAAAAACAAAACCAGACTCTCATTTGAAAAGACCATTCTGACTTCATTGTAGAAAATGAATGAAAAGGAGGCATGAATAGATTCAGGCCAAACAACTGGCACAGATTCCCTCAATAACCCTGCTTTACTCAAGAGCATTCTAGGGCTCAGAGATTAAGTTAATTACCCTAGCTGAATGGAGTAAGGCTGAAATTGTAGCCAGGCATTTTGTTTCTGGAACCCAAATTTTTGTTATATTTATTACAGTGATGAGTATTTTATTTTGGAAAGGACCCACTGGGGAAATTTTCCCTGATCTCAGCAGCAGGAATACTTGGTCTCTTATAAAGAATTGATTTGCTTACACCTTATGGTGGCCTGCTTTCAGAATCTATCTATATACAGCTTTGTGGCATGCATTTTGTAAGCCAAATTTATTCTTTATCTGTGTTTCTTTATTTCCCTCGTTTCTCTCTCTTAGTTTTACTTATTTTAACTTGGTAAAATGGAAGCCATACCTTGCTATAATGTAAATCCTAGGAGTTTCCATAGTCTGTTTTATTCCTTAATCATATTATAAATATAACCAAGGTGGCCCATTCAAGATACTCCCCGGTTACAGGGTTGATGTGGAAAGTAAAATGAGAGTCCCATATTTCATGCTAGTGACCATAATAACCACTTGAGTGTGCTTGTTAAAATCCGAATTTCCAGGCTCAAACCTAGGGGTTCTAATTCAGGCCTCAATTGGACCATAGGAATCTGTGTGTTTCAATTATCTTGTGGATTCTTAATGCAGAGAGGCCCATTGACCCTATTTTATGAAACACTAGCTCAAAACATCTTCCACTTTCTTCCCCCCAAAATGGCCTTCTCTTTAGCCATGCACCAGGTTGAAAAAAGTTAATGATAATATCTTGGATTTGAGTTATCCATTTATTCAACAAATATGCAGCAAGTACCTGCTTTCAAGCACTCTTTTAGGCAGCTCAGAGAAAAAAGGATCAATCTTTCCATCAAGGATCTTATTGGCCTTCTAGCAGAGTAAGAAATGTAGTATACAAACAACTGTTAAAAAGTTAATTAAGAAATGCCATTTTGTTGAGCACATTCTACTGAAGTGTACAGTATGCAATTCTCACAAATACTTTAAAAGATCAGCATTAGATGAAATGCCATTTTGCAAATGAAGAATCTGAGGATCAGGCCAATTAAGCAGACTAAGATTATATAGCTGAGCAGTGGCACTGAGCTCTCTGGAAAGGAATCTTCTTTATCTGTCCTAAATACCTATCACAGTAAGTGGCACATAGAAGCAATTCAGTGAGTATTTCTTGAAGAAACAAAAAATTAAAATAGTAATCCTTGCATTTCAAACTAGATTTTTCTGACTAATGTTTCTGCTGTTTTCTGTACTTGATAGTGCTATTCTAGGAAAAATATGTACATGCTCCTTTAAAGAATCATTATGAGCAAATATTATAGTTATGATTTAGCTGAGTTTCTTAATTCCCAAATGTGACAATGCCTCAATGGCTAATACTGGAATGTCATAGTCAACTTTTAATTCATGATAACGATATATAATAATATATCTTTTTCTCCTGTACTTGAAAATAAAGCACTGATTTTAGTAAATTAATGACACAATCTGATGAATACAGGAGGAATTCATGAAAACTGTACAGTGAGTGGATAAATAAATAAGTACAGTTCCACTTTTTTACAATTGTTTAGTCTGCAATTAACTTATTTTCTATAATGTAATCATGAGACTGTCCCTTCAAATATATCTGAAAATATATCTGCAGTTATCTCCCTGTTGTCTGGGAACATTTGTAATGTTCTTATGTTGTCTATAGAAACTTTTGAGGACAAAGTTATCACTAATTTTAATTTTCTTTTTACTTTCAGGTGCCTTTACCATTTGTATTTGGAACTATAGCTATGTCTTTGTTTCTAATTTTCGTGCCAATGATTCAGTTTCCTAAAACAGAGCATATCTATCAGTTCATCTTTATTTTGGGTGGACTTTTCTGTTACTGGATTTATGTTCATCTTAATCAACACTCTGTTTGTTTTGACAAAATAACTTGTTATTTACAATTACTATTTAATTTTTCACCACCTGAAGACCATGATGACTGTTTTTCAACAGGAAAAGAATGACCTTAAAAAAATCTTTTTGTAAATAAGAAACCTTAAAACGTAAATTTTTTAATGAATGAATACATTCTTAAAGGTAATCTTTACTTTAAAATGCATACACTCATAAACACAAAGCCTCCCACCTCCTGCCCACCTCCCAAAAATTCAGAACAAATTCACCCCCAAGCTACGTATATTCAATGATACTTAATATCCAATATTTATAATTCAAGTTCTTTGTAATCGAAGCCTTAGCTCAATTTGTTCCTCGCTACTTCCCTCCAGGTCAAAAATTTTAAGTGCACACACACACACACACCATAATGTTTAAAGGGCATATGCCTTAATCACCTAACCACTGCCTACTTCTATGTGTAATGTAAATTTGAAATTTATAATAACAAATATATTAATAAATATAAATAAATTTATATTAATAAATAAATTGCTTCCTACTGACTGGTTTAAACTCTTCACAGTGATAGTAATTAAAAGAATACACTCTGCTTTCAAGCCTCTGTATTTAGCCTTTATAAGGTATGATAGGCTAAATAATGGTCCTCAAAGATATGTCTACACCCTAGTCCCTAGGTAAAAACTTGAGAATTTTACTTTATAGGGAAAAAGTCTTTGCAGAAGTGATTAAGTTCAGGATCTGAGATGGGTGAGAATTTACTAAATTATCTAGGTAGGCTTCAAATGTGATCACAAGTGTCCTCATAAGTGGGAGGCAGAGGGATATTTGATATAGGCAGAAGAGAACAAAGCAATGTGGACATGGAGGCAGACATTGGAATGATGTGGTTCCAAGCCAAGGAATGCTGGCAGCCACCAAAAGTTGGAAGAGGCAAGGAATGGATTCTCCCCTAGAGCCTCTTGAGGGAGCAAGGGCCTGCTAAACAATTTTATTTCAGCCCAACAAAATTGATTTTGAACTTCTGGCCCCCAGAGCTGTGAGAGAATAAATGACTGTTTTTGTAAACCACCAAGTTTGTAGTAATTTGCCACAACAGCACTGGAAACTAATACATAAAGTATTTGCCAAAAATCCTCATGGAATTTCAGTGATACTACAAGAAATGCCATAAAATGAGAGGTTTTTTAAAAAATGCACATGCTAGATATTCTTGCATGATTCAAGTATACAGATATTTGACTATCTCAATATTGCTCACCTTATGGTGAAGAGTAAAAATGTAAGCCCTCAACTGAGATAAAATATTCCTACTGCTACTCCTCTATAAAATAATTTCAAAATATCGAGGCATGTTATCCAACCTCCAAGATGGACTTAAAACTTCTCACTTCATGATATTCACACTCTTAAGTAGTCCCCTCTCACATTATGTTAGAGCTAGTTTTTCTTCTTTTTGATTGAATCATAATTGATTAAACATATTTTGGGGATTCAATGTTGACATACGTTGATCAAATGAATATTACTAGTAGGTATATTGTTACAGATTGTGCTTATTCTTTATGCCCCTTTTCCATTTTCTCCCTATCTCTCTCTCTTTTCCCCCTCCCACCACTGATAACACTAGATTTCTTCTCTCCCTCTGAAAGAGTAATGGTTACTCTGTTGATTTGTTGCCTAGATGATCTGCCCAATGCTGAAAGATGTGTCCAGGTTCCCCAGTATTATCACAGAGCAGATGCTTCTTCTGTCACTCTGGAATGGGCTTCATGAAGAGAGACATCCTCTCTTTTTCTTTGGTCTCTGCTGGTGACTCTCCTTGTGTCAATGCACTCCAGTGGCTGGCAAACCATCTGCATGATGGTTGTAATGTCTAACCAGTTTCATGGCAGCCGTGGTTACTGTAGTGGCTATGGTGGGCCACGCACATGGAGATGATGTTTTTGTCATGCTTCTTAGCACTGGTGTTGTGCCTGATTGTGGGTGGGAGAGTCAAGTCCCTGGCTCCATACCCCAGGACCCCAAGCGGACCCTCAGGTGCTAGCAGTGTGCCTGGATGTGGGTGAGAGCTGGAACTAATTTTTTGTCCTTTGCTTACTTCTAAAATGGGGGAGCTTACTGTGGGAACCAGTACTTTAGCTGTGTTGTTGAGCTAAATTGCTGCTTTGCTGCTGTTTCCCTACAGAAGATTTTTTGTGCTGTTCAGGGTTTCATGGTTGACCTTATATGTACTTCTGGCTCTCCAGAGGCCTGGTGCACCTGGGTTGTGCAGAAACTCTGATCCAGGCCTGAATTTTTTAATCAAACTGCACCCCATGCAATTCTTCATTCCCTGTCAGTCTCCTCTGAGTGGTCCTGTGCTGACTGGGAGGTGGATTGGCTGTCCTTGCTGTGTCCCATTGTTCTCCTGGTGGGCCTGTCACCCCCACCATACTCTTCTGAAATGTATTAAGACTTGTTTTATGGCAAAAATTTTTTAAAAATTTATAAATGTGTCCTTTGTCTGCATTGGTATTCCTTCCAGCTGATAAAATTACAGAAGCTTTTAATGAATTGAAGGTGAATTTGTCTGAAGAAACCAGCAAAGTTACTGATTGATTCAAATAATTATGTGCACAATAGGATAAGAAGACACTTAGTTAACAGTATTGCTGTTTAATCACCCATATTATTTCCACCAAATTTCTGGTTTGCATGTGAGTGCACACAGAATGTATTTCCAGGTAGCCAATACAACATAGATGTATGGCACAGTCGATAGGAAAATTTAACACAAAATGCTTGCGTCAGTGAAGTCAAATCATAGAAGAATTTTAAAGAGAGCAGTGTCACATAGAAAATAAATGTGAACATATTCTCCAAAGAGAAACTTGCCCTAAAAGAAATATTTATTATGATGCAAGACTTCAAAATATAGTTATAATGATCAAGAAAGTCCGCCAGCTGTGATGGACTACTTACATGCAATTGACAATAACTTATCCCTATAATACACTTTTTCATATGTTAAATTTTTTTTAAAATTTTTTTTGGGGGGGAAGATTTTTTGTTTGTTTGTTTATGTTTTTCTTCCAATATTTTAAATTGTCAGTATTATTTTTTACAATTTGCTATTCTATGTATTTTCTCTTATCTTCATTTCTAATACTGGAGCTGTAAATTACGTAAAGACTTCTGGAGTCATAAATTGTTATATGCAATTTTTGCAAACTTGACTTAAAGAAAGTGCATTCAGTGTTGACTTGTGCATAAGCACTGTGTGTGCACATAAAAATGTTGAAATTTTCTCAATAATTGAAGAGATGTCCTTTTCATATGTCTCCATTCTCAATATCTTGGCTGTTTGTAATTTGGAGGATTTTAGATGTTTGGGATTATAGACTATAGGGCTTTTAGACTTTAGTAGTTTTAATCTTAGGGATTTTGAACTTTTGTGACCTTAACATTCAGAATTATGGTGTTTGGAACTGTGTCTTTTGGAACTATGATCAGCACCAGTGGAGAGTCATTTGCTTTATTCAAAGTCTACACCTTCACATATTATAAGTATGATAACGCTGTTTGACTTTCTTAACTATGGACATATGTTATTATAAAATAAAGTCAACTCAGACTTCCAGTCAAAATGGCAGACTAGATGGTTCCTAGTGTCACTCTCTCCCACAAATCAACCAATTTGCAACTATTAAAAAGCAACAACAGGAGGCCCATGAGCTGCACTAGAACAGGCAGGAGCCGTGCACCATGAAACCCTGAGCCCAGGCCAGTGCCCACAACCCAGAGAGGCCTGAGAGCCACCAGGCCCACACACCCTGAGTTAGCCATGCTGGAACAGGCAGGAGCCATGGGACCTCCAGCCCAGGTCAGTCCCCACCACTTAGAGAGGCCCAAAAACAGCTGGGCCCACATGCCCCGTGTCAGCCACACCAGAAAAGGCAGGCTCCACAGGATCTCCAGCCCAGGCCAGTCCCCACTGCCCAGAGAGGCCAGGGAGCCATCAGGCCCACACACCCAGAGCCGGCCATGCCAGAACAGGCAGGCACTGCAGGACTGCCAGGCCAGGCTAGTCCCCACTGCCAAGAATTGGCAGTCCATTCAGGATCAAGGCCAGACATCAGGGTGGAACAAGTGGTCTGTGATCAAGAGACAAGAAAATCAAGAAAGGACAACACCACCAAAGAAAAATAATAACTCTCCAGCTCTAGATCCTATAGAACAGGAAGTCCTTGAAATGATTGACAAGGAATTTGGAGAAACAATTCTAAGGAAACTAAATGAGATACAAGAAAACTCAGTTAGACCTGAAAGAAGAAATGTACAAAGAAATCAATGCACTGAAAAAGAATGTAGCAGAACTTTTGGAGCTACAGGATTCATTCAGTAAAATACAAAACACAACAGAGAGTCTAACCAGCAGGCTAGAACAAAGCAGAAGAGAGAATTTCTGACCTTGAAGACAGGCTGTTTGAATTAACACAGGCAGACCAGAAAAGAGGAAAAAGAATTTTAAAAATTGAAGAAAATCTAAGAGCAATAACATATCTAAGTGCTCAAATATTCAAATCATGAGTATTCCAGAAGGGGAGGAAAAAGAAAATGGCATTGAAAGCATATTCAATGAAATAATAGCAGAAAATTTCCCAGGTATACTGAAAGTCACAGATCTTCTGATTCAGGAGGCCCAAAGATCCCCAAACAAATTCAACCTGAAAAGGTCCTCTCCAAGAAATGTTATAGTCACACAAGCAAAACTCAAAGACAAAGAGAGAATCTTAAAAGCTGCAAAGAGAAGTGACAAGTCACCTATAAGGGAGCCCTAATCAGACTAACATTAGACTTTTCATCAGAAACCCTAAAAGCCAGAAAAGAATAGGATGATATATTCAAAATAATAAAGGACAAAAATTGCCAGACAAGAACACTTTACCCAGCAATGCATTCCTTCCGAAATGAAGGACAAATAGTATATTTCTCAGATAAATAATGACTGTGGAAGTTCACTACCACACAACCAGCCTTACAAGAAATTCTCAAGGAAGTACTGGGTTTGATACCTCAAAAACAACCATCACTGCCAGGAATACTCAAGAAAAAAATAAAACCT